ATATATATATTTATTTATTTTGGGGGATATTTGATTTAAGAAGTTCAGATTCGGTATGACAATATATACACAACACTTTGTGAAGGCAGTTGACTTAGATTTATGTCGACATCCCAGTGTCTATAAACAGCTGCACCAACAGCTCCTCACGCTCCTGTTGGAAACTTTACAAAATCTACAAAATCTAAAACTTAAGACATTTCCTGTGTATTGTTTTTGGGAAGTTAGTTTTGTAAGAACACAGTATAGTTTCAGTTCATTTTGATTTTCTTGAGTCTAGTTTTTATTTTTGTTTCATAAAACTTAAAAAAAAAAAAATTACACCTCCTTTTAGCTTTTAATTTAGTTTTAGTTCACTAGAATAATCAGACCCTATATGGGAACATCAACGACAACTATAACTATAATTATTAATATTATTATTATCATTATTTATAGAGCACTTTTCAGGCAAGCAGTAGTTGTTTAAGGACAAAAAAAGGACATAAGCAACATTTAAGACAGTTACATGAGATAAAAGCAGCAGTGAAACTAAATGAACTCTTAAAAACCTCCAAAAACAGAAATCTAAATACATTTCTTTGGGATTTTATGAATAAGAATTAATTAGAATTTATTTTGGTATGCAAATAAAAATAAGAACATCATGTATTAATCTACAAATCTATGTAAATAAAGTCACAGCATCTTATAGAAAATGGCAGACACTTAAGTTTTACAGTGCAAAACATTACAGTAAAGTAATTTAACATAACTCAGACACTTCTGCTGTCCAAAAAAAGCTGCAGGCTGAAGCTACAGCTGATAACATCGACCCTTTTAACCACACCTCATATTTAGCAATCAACAACAAAACAGAAACAAACAAAAACGGAAACAGGCAAACAAGGCAGAATAGCAACAAGGACAAAATACAACACACACAAAAAACAGCTTACAAAAGGCAACGTACACACTTTAAGTTCCTGTTCCCTGTTCTTCTACGTCAGTATTACAGTCTGATCGTTTATTTTCTTAAATGATAGGTGTAGTGTTGCATAAAAATCTACTGACGACAGCAGTCAGTCATTGGTCTAGTCTTGGTTTGGTCCTCTGGCTCATTGCTCAGGTGGTTCAAGTCATTTATTGGGACAGGAACTATTTTAGCTTGATTTGTAGTTCAGAATCTAGCTGGACAAACGTGTGGATATGTGTGGAGTTCCCCAGGGCTCAATCCTCAGTCCTCTTCTGTTTTACATTTACATGCTTCCACTGGGCCACATTAAACAAAACAATGATATCAACTGTAATGATTATGTAGATGCCACTCATATTTACCTTCATCTGCCACCAAGTAACCACATTCCTATAATATATATATTACAGCTGGAGTTTCTGAGGCCACGGACAAATGAAAAATTATACTGAAAGTCATAAAGTATGAAGCTGATTGAATAATGTGAAGTACATTTATTGAGCTGTTCATTAGGATTAATTCTTTTAAATTGTAAAAGTTTCATAAAAGCCATAATGACGCATCAAACCTGCTCTGATGAGGTTTAGTATCTCATGATGCCTTGTTTCTCCAGCTCCGCGGGGCAAGAGGGGCTGGAAGTCTTTCTACGCCATGCTGAAGGGTCTGGTGCTCTACCTGCAGAAGGTAAACATTTACATTTCCCAGCAGCCCTGCTGGTTCATACATGTCAGTCCGTCCACATTAAGTGTTTTTAACTCTTTGTTCTTATAACACAGAATCCAAATTGTACGCCGTGACTTATCTTAATTAGTTTGTTTGTAAATAAACTGCTTAGTGTGTGAACTGTGCTTTATAAATGAATTACCTTTGCCTCATCTTATTACAGTAACAAGCTTTTTTTGTTATTACATAATTCACATGTTGTTAAAATGACAAAGATTTAGTTAATGCATGAAGAGAAAACATCGACATTGACTGGAATCATTTTGATGAGGTAACGTGTGATATATAAGATAAAATGATATGTTGTAATAAAAAGACCAGGATGTTGTGAAAACAATAATTTGCTGTGAAGTAACCAGAAAAATACGTCCCTATAATATCACTGACATGTCATTTTGACATCATTTTTTTCATCAAATATTTTCATGTTATAATGACATGTTTTTATGCTCGTAACTAAACAGCCAATGATTCGGTTTAGTTTTAGTCGTGAGAGCAATGCTTTCTGGGACTTGTAGTTGACTTTGTGAGTGTTTGACCAAGTTTGAACACGACCAGCTGACAGATATCACGCTGCTCTGTGATTGGCCGACAGGATGAGTACCGTGCGGAGCGAGAGCTGACGGAGGAGGACGTAAAGAACGCCGTGTCCATCCATCACTCTCTGGCCATGAGAGCAGCTGATTACAGCAAGAGACCGAACGTCTTCTACCTGAGGACGGCCGACTGGAGAGTCTTCCTGCTGCAGGCTCCGTAAGAACCACGCAGAGACACTGTATACGTCTTTGTTTGTTTGTCCGGTGTTTATTTGTCTGTCATCAGAGGTAGACATCCGTACATCGGCTCAGATTCTAACAGGAAACGGACATCACTGTTTTCCTTCAATCATTAAACTAAGACATCGTCCTCATTGTCAGAGTGATGCCGTGACTGACGTCATGGTTACAGTACAAACAGGAAGTGTTGACTTCTCAGGTTGAGTGTTATTGTCTCTGACCTTCCTGCAGAAACGCAGAACAGATGCAGTCCTGGATCACACGCATCAACGTCGTAGCGGCCATGTTTTCGGCTCCTCCATTCCCGGCGGCGATTGGCTCCCAGAAGAAATTCAGCCGTCCTCTGTTACCGGGATCCAACACCAAACTGACCCAGGTAGAGACGCTGTGTGTTCACACCTCGTTCAATAAAGGCTTTATTTAATGTGGAAACATCAGAACCCAGAGCTGAGTTTTAACGTCTGTCCCGACAGGAGGAGCAGGTTAAATCCCATGAGAACCGGTTCAGGGCGGTTTCCTCAGAGCTGGCAGAGCTCACGGCCTCCACACCAGACCGGAAGGTGAAAGGTCGCGAGCTGGAGGAACAGAAACTCCGACAGGAGTACCTGGAGTTTGAGGTGAGAGGATTCACAGCAATATACAGGCACAAAGAAATGTTTGGTCGTTCGAGAACTGAAGTGAAGACAAGCACAAATCCAGTAGAGGTGGGGATGATACTTAGGTCATGATACAGTGTTACTGCAATATGCTCAGGGCTTACAGTACTCCGGCTTGACGGACATTTCTTGTATTTTTTTTATTTTATTTTATTTTTTTGTGGCAACAACTTGGCACAAGTTAGCATTTAACGAATCATCTTCTGATTTTCAGTGAAGCACATGGTTAGTTCCACCAATAGTATAGTGTTATCAAACTCAGCTGGCCAATAAGAGCTGAGTGGGGAGGGTCTAAAAACAGCATGCACACACACACACACACACACACACACACACACACAGACAGGGTTTCAACACACACTACTTCCAAGCACATGTTGTTTAGTTTATGCTTCACTTAGAAGAGCTTGGGTACGGCTGTGAGGGGGCGGAGTCACATACCTGGGTTCACGTGTTTTTAGTGTGTAACAAAAGCCTTTGTTTCAGCAGCGCTGTATGGACGCAGATTTTTGCACAGGAAGTAGGTGATGGACTGTGTTATTTTCTGATGGTAGTTGTGTCGAGCTAAGTGTTTCCAGTGTTGGGTGATTTTTCGGCAGAGCGGGTTTAGTGTTAGCTTGGCCGTCAGCAGCTAACACTGTCTCTGGATGGTGTCGTGTGAGGTGAGCTGTCATGTTGGTAGTATGTAGCACAGGTAGATGGACCTGCCTGCTTGGCATCACTGCCTGACACACCTCCGACGGTGCCTTTGCGCCAGCTGCAGGGTCATCAGCCGGGAGCCACCCTTCACTGATGTTTCGCTCCATTAATCCCGGAACATCTCTGGGTGGTGGAGCAGCAATAGGGACGTCTCCCTACTGCTCCCTGCAGCTGGCCCTAAGATCCCTGTTTCCCCCACGATTTGTCCTTCCTGCAAAGCCAGAGCCAGAAACTCCCCTGCTCTGCCTCCTCGGCAATGTCCCTGATGGCCCTCTTCAGCTTGGCACCTCTAATGCCCAAGGACTTAAAGAGGCGCAGGGCTGATGCTCCTGTGTAGCCTCTGCTCCCAACCTCCACTGGGAAAGTGAACGCCCTCCACCCAGCTTGTGAGCATGCAGCTGCCAGCTCTGCATACCTGTCCTTCTTCCTCTCGAAGGCAGCCTCCATTCCATCCTCCCACGGGATGGTCAACTCGATCATGAAGACCATCTTGGTGAGGGAAGACCAGATGACGATGTCAGGTCACAAGGAGGTTGAGGTGATCTCCAGAGGGAACCTAAGCAGCTGGTTGAGGTCAGCCATTAGGTTCCACTCCGCTCCAGGAGTCATGAGGGACCAAGCCCTAGCGGTGTTGGACAGGCCCTGGTCTCCCTGTCTAACAAAATGGATGCGTCTCTGTGAAGGTACTGTGCTGTACTTATTCACCTCAAGCCTGCGTGCTTCCAGGATCTCAGCGATCTTTTGCAGGACCCGGTCGTGGCGCCATCTATACCAGCCCTGCGTTAACGCTGACTTGCAGCTAGAGAGGATGTGCTGCAGACTTGGGTTCTGGGAGCCGCACAGCTGGCAGCTCTACTCAGTACCGTAACAGAGGTTGATGTTCTGGGGGATTGGAAGGGTGTCATAAGTTGCCCTGATCATAAAGCTGAGGCGTGCTTGTGGTATCAGCCACATGTCAGCCCAGGTGACGGATCACTTGATCACCGCCTCCCAGGCTGTCCACCTCCCTTGCTGACGCTGGCCAACTGCCTTGATCTTGTAGGACTCCTCTTCCATCCTCACCACCTCAGAGATTACCAGGTCCTGTCTCTCCTTCACATTGGCTTTGGACCACATCTTGGCCGCGGGACCCCAGCCAAGACCAGTCCTGCCTGGTTGCAAGACTCCCATGATCTCCTGGTGCTTCAACCGGCTAATGGCTTGATCCACTGTTTGCACTGCGTCCCACTTACGTATTAAGTATTCCCAGAATATTTTATTCTCATATGACACTGCTGTAAATCATGTGTCATGTCCAAGTCCTCCTTCTGTGTTCAAAAATCCAAAATAAGTCCAGATGTTTGATTTAAACACCGACAGCACATTTCTGTTTTCTTTGTTGTGATGAACTTCCTGCCAGATGCCGCTGACTGAGACCTCTGCTGACCTCACCAGGAACAAAACATCAGCACCATCTAGTGGACTGAGAAAGCAACTGATTTTATTATTCTAGGAACAAAAGTTGGATTCAAATGTGTATTTACAAAAATAATAATGTTTACAGTAAAACATCAATACTTGCGTCCGTGTATTGATACAGTATCACCACGCAAAATATTACGATACTATGCTGTATCCATTTTTTCCCCACCCCTAAAATCCAGTCTGAATTTATTCTGTATTAATTCACTGAAATTTGGAACTAAATTTTTGAGTAATTTGAGTCGTTATGTAAATTTCAGCTTCTGTCAGGTCGGTCCTGGTGTTTTATTTCTTGATAAATGTTCTTACTTGAAGTAGAAATGTACCTGACTTTCACCTTTAACTTATTTTCCATCTTCACATTTACTCTAACTGTAGCGTGCACAAACCCTCGGACAGAAATCACAGTCCTTGCCTTTACAGTACGTGAACATCTCAGTCAGATGCATTAGGTTTCATCTTCCACAGTTCCTTTGCAGCAGTATGAACCCCTTCAGAAGTCACGTGTTGTATCTGAAGTTAAACGTGCACTGAATCCCTCTGAGGTCTGAATATAAGTGACAGTTTCTCTGCGGCTCCTTCTGCTCGTCTTCATCACAAACTGTCGCTGAATCAGTCTGTCTGGTGTCAAACAGGCTGCAGAGACACAAACACTGTGCCGGGAACACGGTGCTCAGTTAAAGGACCAGTCTGCTGTTTACTTTCCTGCACCGCACTCGTTACACAGAGTTCTGTCTTCTCGGGTGAGCGTTTGGTTCTGATTCAGAGACACCTGATGAGTTATCAATCGAGGATGTAGAAGCAGGACTGACTTTAACAACCTGAGAAAGTTTCCTGTTGCTTTCTTCAGTCACAAATCTGATAAACAAATACGGTGAGTTCAGGTACGGTCATAAAGATGGAAAACACAATAACTCTACTGTGTCTCAGTAGGTAAGGATTAGAAGTCACAAAGCACTTCACAATAAGAGCATCTCCTATTATTTTCAGGAGCGAGGAGCCGTTTTTGTCCAGCACAAATGTTTTTGTAACGTTTTTAATATCCAAAAAGTTTGTGAGACAAGTAACGTCTACTGTTTATTTCTCGATAAATGTTTTTATATGCAGGTGACAGCAGTGGCTGGAGACGTTATGTTTCCGGGTTGTCCATACATATGTCTATTCCATTCTTGTGAATGCAATATCTAAAGAAGGAAATTTTTGAGGGAATAGTTTCAAATTTGACACAAACGTCCACTGGGACTGAAGAATAAACTGATTAGAATTTGGTGGCAAAGGTCAAGGTTGCTGTGACTTTGTTTAGCTCATTCTCGTGAATGCGACATCTCAAGATCAACGTGAGAGAATTTCTTCAAATTTGGCACAAACATTCACTTGGACTCAAGGATGAAGTGATTAGATTTTGGTGGTCAAAGGTCACTGTGACCTTGCACCTGTCTCATTCTCATGAACATAATATCTCAAGAACAGCTTCAGGGAATTTCTATAAATTTGGCACGAACGTCCAACTGGACTGAAGAGTAAACTGATTAGAATTTGGTGGTCAAAGGTCAAAGGTCAGTGTGACCTCACAGAACATGTTTTTGGCCATAACTCCAGAATTCATTCACTAATTCTGACCAAACTCGACACAAATGTCTAACAGGATAAAATAATGAAGGTCAAAAGGTCAAAGGTCAGTTTGACTGTGACATCATCTTGTTTTAACGTCATATCTCAGGAACAGAAGGGGAGACATTTGGTCAGATACTGAATTGGTGACTCTAATCTTGAAACTGTGCTGACATGGATGGAGACTGTCAGAGACACTGGACTGGTGGGCGGAGTCATACAACCACAGGGTGGACTGGTGGGCGGAGTCATACAACCACAGGGTGGTGATTCTAGTTTTGGAGGGAAACTGTATTAATCGTTCCGTGTAAAGGATTCATTGCGTCAGTTACGACCTGACGTTAGCATCATTAACTCTTGTCTCCTTTCTCCGTCCTCCTCCTACAGAAAACCCGCTACGGTACGTACGCCATGCTGCTTCGGGCCAAACTGTCAAGTGGAGACGAGGACCTGTCGGCCTTTGAGGCGCGGCTGTTTGATGACGGCGGCCTGCAGAGGGCACACTCCAGCCCCACGCTGCCTCAGGAGACAGCCAACAAGGAGAAGACCCGTGGAGGCAAGACGTCCAAAAGCTTAAAGGTCACGTCCTCCTCGTCCTCGACCTCCAAGACCAGCGGCAGCGCCAAAGAGGCAAGCAAGAAGAAGAATGGCGGCGGTGGTGGAGGCGGTGGCGGTGGGAACAACCAGCAGCCGGAGCTGCAGAAACAAAGCAGCAAACAGGAAGAGGCGCCGTAAGGCGGCGAGAAGCAGGTTTGATACAGAGTGTGTAGCTGGAGACGGACATGAAGCATCATGGGTAGCAGGCTGACATCCTCCTTTAAACCTTTTCTGTTAAACCTCAGTGAGATTCTGATTGGCTGAGGGGATTTTCCTCCAGAGCCCGGCTGAGACGTTTGAGGGCGGCAGGAGAGGAGACGCTCGTCACAAAGGAGGACGACCGTACGGACGAGTGGAGCGCCTTTCTTTTTCTTTTTTTTTTCTTCCACGAGTCGAAACATTCAGGAAACACGAACGATGTGTGAAATCTGAAGAGCGTCACTCTGAGTTTATTTCTCGTCCAAACATCCACCTCAGCAGGTCAGAGTTTCACAATAAAAGCTTTACTTCCTGTCAGACCTTTTATTTTCAGGGACTCTCTGAGCGAGTTTGAACCTCCTGCAGCAGCCGGCTGCTCACAAACACTTTGTAGGTACTGACCTCCTGCACGGCCGCCGCTCTGCTGCTTCTCCTAGCAACAGACGGGGGAGCAGGTTGCCATGCCAACCAGATATGACAGACAGAGTGCGTGGGACTGTTGCCGTGGCGACCGAGCAGAAGGGGAAGCAGAGAGGAAGGGGAGAGAGACTCTGGAGTCAGGACTCCCCCGGCCAAACAAACAAACAAACAAACAAACAAACAGACAAACAGACCGAGGCTGTGATGATGCGTCACAGAACACAATACCTCCTCCTCCTCCGCACTTCACAGACTGTGTATTTGTGTGTGTGTGTGTGTGTGCGTGTGTGTGTGTGTGCGTGCGTGCGTGCGTGCGTGCGTGCGTGCGTGCGTGCGTGTGTGTGTCGTACTTCCAGGAGTGTAAATACTAACTGATGGAGGCTGATCAGAGTCACTGCACTTCATTTATTTATGTTGTTGTTGTTTTTTTCCTGGCTGAGTTCTGCTGGAACAAACAGGCTGTACGGAAGCTCATTAGTGACCAAAAACTACTGACTGAGCAGAAACAATAATAATTCAGACTTTAGTCAGCGACATCATCCCATATTTATTGATTAATAATTTTTTATTCTGCCTTATGGAGAGCCGACGTGACAAAGACGTCAAATTTCTGTAAATTTATATTTTGCGTGTTTGATAAATTGCTCACTGCTGGGTTCTTTGCATTTATTTAAAACCATAATGGTACCGAATATCAATACGCATCCCCCGGTTGAGCGGAGCTTTTTGTAAACATGTTTAATGATTTAAGACCCCGCCCCCAGTTGGAACATATGGCCTTATATTGATTAAATATAATAATAATTATAATACATTTTAAAAGAAAAACATACATACGGGGCCAAAGGTGGAGCTTCACAGTCAAAATTAAAAAAATACAATCACGCATTTAGGACTGAGTAGGACAAACTTTTCTCAAAACAAAATCAGTTTACATCCTTTATCTTAACCTTTTTGCAAATTCCAAAAAACAGCTCCCAAATATAAAAAAATTCAGAATGTACGTATTAAACATCAGTATAAATAAAATAAGGAATTTCTGTGTTTCTTTGTTTGACATTAAATCTGAAAATAAAAGGCAGCAGACTTTCTTAATTCATGTTTGTGATTATAAATTTAAAATACATTAAAATATAAAAATGATTGTGTCCTGAAATTAAAATTCTTTTGATGTAAAATTTCAACAAAGTGTTGTGAAGCGTCTCTCAGACTGGTTTCAGTTTGATTCTGTTTTGTGCTCACTCAGTAGTTTTGTCGTTAATGAACGTCCATAGATTTTTTATGCTGAAAACGATGCTGGAAACTGAATAACGTTTGAATCCGTCCACTTTCTCCTCACACTCCTGTTTTCTTTCTTAACGTTTCTGTATTGTGCTGAAAATGATCTTTGTTGGTTTGTTGGAGACGAAAGTTCAGAAGTTTAAATCGTGTGTTTGTTAACGGGATGAAACAAACATCAGAAACCTCAGAGCTCAAATTAAGAAAATTCTGATCACTTTCACCACCAGACACCAGAGGGGATTTCTGGGTAATGAGGTTTTCAACATGCAGTTTCCTCCTGCTGCCACTTGGTGTCACCAGAGTGTCACACTGTAGACTTAACATGTTTACTTTCATTGAGTAGTTTTCAGACCTGCATTCAAAACTTAACTAAAAGAAAAGTAACAGCAAAAGTAAAAGTATTGTCATATAATTATCGATGCATTCATGTGTTTATCTGAATAATCTGAGTTTAGTAAAGTATCTAAAGCTGTCAGATAAATGGAGTGCAGTTAAAAGTATAAAGTAGCATAAAGTGACAGTACTTAACTACTTACGTAGAGTACTCAGGGTTCCCACGGTCATGGAAAATCTGGAAAAATCAAGGAATTATGTCGTGTGTAATGAAATAAATTGTCCACAGTAATCTGCGGTTGATAACCTTCCACATAGTATAAAACCAACATAACCAACCGACTCTGGAAAAGGTTTCTTTCTACATTTGGAGTCAAGTATAATAAACAGGTCTGTTAGTGATATACGGTGTGCACGGTCATCGAATTTTGTTAGTCATGTAAAAATCAGTAAAAATATGGAGGAACCCTGAGCACCTTAGTGAATGTTCTTGATTACTTTCCTCCAGGGAGTCACAAACGTCAGAGTCACAGTGGTTCAGGTAGGGCTGAGGTACAGTTCATGATTTAACAAAAAAATTGCAAATAAGGAAAGACTAAAACTTGATTAAGATATTATAAGACAGCTGTGAAGCCAAGATCCAAAGTAGATTTATCACCCTCCATCCAGGTCTTGAGATTCTAATTAATTTTGGCAGTGCCAGGCTTCCATATTCAGCCCCCTCAGTGTCAGTAAAACATAAAAACATGCCGTCATGTTTGGTTTCCTTCCTGTGATGTAACACTGCAGCTGGTCGTTGATTATGAATAATCAAAGTGAACAGAAGGAGCTTCATGTTTCAACAGAGAGCAGATGTACTGACAGCAGACGAACACCAGGTGGCAGCAGACTCTGCAGGTTTAACAGGTGACGAGTAAAAGAAGCCAAACACTCAAAGTGTTGTTTATTTTTGCTCTTATCTTCACATCCAGAGATCAGATCCTCTAAAGAGTCAAACTCTGGAGGTTTCTGTAGTTTGTCAGGTTTGTGATCAGGAACACAAACAGCTGGAACCTTTTTCATCCCAAATATTAATGTGTGTTTCCAGAAAACCTGAAAACACTGAAGGAGAGCTGGAAGCTTTGTTCTCTGAAGGGAATTCTTCCTTTGTTTTTTTTGGTTGTTTCCAATCGGGAACAATTCTTCAGCGAGCGTTGGAGCTTCAGTGTGAAACTTTCGATGGATTACAAACACTGATGCTTCTGTTTGTGCTGTTGGACAGATTACCCTCCAGGAATTAGTCTTATACCGCTGGAAGCTCTCAGAGACATAAAGAGAGAAAGTCTGACCTTTTGAATGAAGCTGTTTTTGTTTTTTTCTCTGCGGTCCATACGTGGATCATCACGTCTGTTCTTCAGTGGCTGAACAGACTGTAAGGACTCATTAAAACACCACAGAGGACTTTAAAAACACAAATTTCAAAGGTACTGACAGAATCAAAACTACGGAGCCTCTACAGAGAATTACAGCCATGTTCTTTTGTTTTTTGTTTTTTGTTTTTTACATCATGCTCCGAAAGGTATTGTATAACCTCACTCGTTTTCTTGAGATCAAAATAACAGATTCTCAGCTTACCATGTGATAACCACAATCGTCCACGCTCGTCGCTGGTTGCATCAGTCGGTCCGGATCTTGGTCCTCATCACAGGTCACAAGCTGTGGATTCAACTGAAACATAAAGATCACAGCTATGAGAAATCCGTCTTAGTCCACAGCAGCTGCATTTCTGAAGCATCTTTGATGTTGGACACAGTAGACTCCAGCACACTGAGGGCAGTGACACTGTCCTCCAGGTTGGAGTCATTAGCACTTCATTAGCACTTACACGTCCCTGACATCTTGTTTGTGGTGGTGGTTCCCAGTTAGAGAAGGGAGTCAGTTCAGGTGGTTCAGACCCACAACACACCGGATCTTATAAGCAGCATTTCCAACTCTTTCGGTACAGTACCCTCAGAACCGGTCCGTAACCCAGATGGACTTGTACCCAGACCCGAGATCTGTTTAGCGTTTCCTCCTCAGACAGTACTCTTAAATGTAGTTGGGGTTGTTTCCACTCTCGCTGTATAAACTCTTCACTGACGATGCAGAGGAATGTTTGCACCTCATTGATCGTCCACGTGATGACGTTACACTCCAGCATTTTCAGAACAAAAACGAACGGGCTGGTGTGTTTTTAGAGTCTCTGTCGCATTCGGTTGGATGTTTGAAAATAGAACGCTTTTCAAGTAAGAGTGATGATTCTCTCCTGACCAATCAATGGACTGCAGGGTTCCTAGCCCCGCCTTTCAGTGTGCACATTACCTCAACAGAGAGTAACAAATGGGACAGAATGGAGCAGTTCTATTGGTTCATCCACATTTTTCACCAAAGGAAACACAAATATAATCGTTCTAATGTGTAACAAGCTAAACTGAACAGAACCGACTGCTTGGTGGAAACGAGGCTCAAGATCCGCCGCAGTGAGCTCAAAGGATGTGGCTGCCTTTTTTACTTCCTATTCTCGTACAGACTCAACAAGTCTTCATCTCTGAAGCTCATAGGTCATTTATATCCTCAGTTCTGATTGGGAAAAGAGGGTCCGTTAATCAGCTTTTCCTCCATTTAGTTTGACGTTCTGTTTCATCAGAGATTGAGAACCAGATGATTGGTTGTGTCAGAGGAAGTTTGCATGACTTTGAACCTTCCTCAGGTTCCTCACGTTCTGCAGCTGGTCGACTTTTGAGACTTTAATTTTCAGAGAGACACCAGGTTCAATTCAAATTAGTGGTATCTTGTAAAAACAATAGATGGATGGATGACGCTAATAAAATCCTGGACTCAACCTGTGTCAGATTGTACGACATCAGTTTTGAGGCTGTCAGATGTGTGCGATGAAGGTGTTGTGAATCGTCGCACTACGTTGGAAACATCGGCTCGCATCATCCTTCTGCATCACCGTCATGTTTTTAATCGTCCTAACTGGGACCAGGACCTGTCGTCTGTCTGTGACTTGCTGCAAGCCTTTAGTTTCATCGATCGATGACGATCACTTTCAAAATGTCAACATTTCACTGAGAGTTCTCGATTCCACGAGTACCTTTGAAATTATTAGCGGACCTTCACACATAAAGACCTCTGTGGTTCGTTTGACCGTGAAGATCGGAGAGGACGTCTGACTCAGTCTGTCCTTCTCTTCTTCGTCCTCCATCAGACGGACATCGACACGCTGGTTGATGCAGGAGGAATTTATCGAGTCACTAGCAGACAGCAGGGTTCAGATTCATCGTCCCTGCTGAGCTGTTTGACCCCCGCTGGGTCGTATTTACTCCCTCAAATATCCAGTAACACTTGTGTACATCGGGTGTATTTGTCGCACTGTGCAATGTAAAGCAGCATAGGATGAATTTGTCTAAAAGTCATGGCCGCTTTCAGCTCTTTGTCTGTGTCCAAACCTGTAAATAAATGTACAAGTTCACATTGAGAAGCCATATTGTAGTTGGGCTGAACGCCCGGCTAGCGCTTGCTGCGTTTTAGGGCACTTTGGTTTAGATATTTTAGAGTGAGAGCAGATTAAACCTCGTCAGAGAGGTTCATTCCACCACTTTATTTATTCTGTTGGTTGTCGTCTCCGATCGACGACGAAGACCGAGTTTAGTTTCTGTGAAAGTTTTTTGTTTTTCCGGCTTTGCTGCGGTCTGAATGTTCGCCGCCGGCTCGCCGATCGATAGCTGTACATACTGTCCACATCCTGTGAGGTTTTGGTCGTAGTGAAACACAAACAACATGTTTGTATCATTTTGAAGGCTTAGAGGCAAAAATAAAAAAACAACATTTTGAAAACAAAGTCTGAAAGTCTTTTATTCAAAGTTTCAGAAACCGTGCGCCATTTATTTCTCACACTGATATTTAACTTCCAGGCTGCTTGGTTATTAAAGAGAAACCACATGAATACACAGTATTAGTAAAAACACACAGCCTCAGCTGGAAACGCTGCTCCTGCAGAGCAACAAGGTTTATGTGTAAACATCAGAGAAATAAAAGATGTTCATGTTGCACAGCTAAGAGTTCGGAATATAGTTCACAACTTCACTTTTTCAGGAGAGTCGCCATTTAAGAAATGTAGAAGGTGTATATTCAAAATGTTCCAAAGTTAAAAATAAAAACACTCGAGCTAAGTTTAAAATTATCAAACTGTAAATCATAAATATGACATTTAATTCTTATATGTCGAATGTGACTTTTTGCTCTTACAACTTGAAGTCATATTTAGACTATGAACACATTTTTAACTAATAGCAAAATATTTTTATTTATCTGGTTTGTTATGTCAGAGTTTTAACAGAAGAATAAATGTTGTCAGATGTATCTCACAGTTTGGAATTTAAAAATTTAAAATTAATTTTTATTTAACTGACTTTATTAGAACCTTTTTTTTAAACATTTTTAACCAATACTAAAATATTTTTATTTAACAGGCTTTTTATTGCACAATTTTAAAATAGTCAAAATTTAGACCTATTTCATTATTTTTCACAGAAAAATGAACAGTTGTCAGTTTTATCTCATGAATTTGAAACTTTTAAATTTATTTTGACTGTTTTACAATTTTCATTTCACTGAATTAACTCTCTTCTAACTTTTTTAACCGGTTTAGGGTCACATAATTTTAACACTGCATATTTCATAATTTAAATAAAACACTAATAATTTCAACCAAGTTAAATTGTCATGATGGTGACCTTAGTGTGACCTTAGTGTCTTATAATTCTGCTGAAATGTTTTTGTATCTTTTTATTTACGTCACCATTTTATCATTCTAATTTTAATCATATTAAATGACTTACTATCGAATAATTTTGACATTAAAATCCCAAAATTTAGACTTTTTAAGGCGAGACAAGGCAGACAAAAACATCGAGTGGTCAATTTTTAGATTTTGAGCAATTTTACTTCTTGAATATGTGTTCTTTCAAACTGCTGTAAAGAAAAGATTCAAATTATACATTTAGATGTTTATTTGATCACATTTTGTCCACTTGCATAATGTTATGTTATTATGTAAATCTTTGAATGCCGTTTTCTCAAAATGAGTTTTTTGTCATACTCGTAGTCGAACGTCTCGGCCTCTGTAGCACCTATGTACACCAAACTTTCCAGTTATACACATAGCTATATACTGAAGATATCTACGGAGGGGTTTGTTAATATATCATTCCTAGCCTGATTTATGTGACATTTTATTCCCAAAAATATGGCGAAAATCTTTTTTTTTTTAAGGCTACGGACAGTATATTTAGATCTTCGAGGTAATAAAGCAGAAATCCTTAAATCCCTCTGTAATTTCTTTTTTCATCATATATGTAAACAAAATGAAAAAAAGAATTTTGCACTTGGCTTTATCAGATGTTCAGATTTATCTTCCTAAAATATATGCAAATTAGCGCATGTTTAATGAGATATGCTAATTTGCATAATTAAACATTAATATTTTAAAAACTTGAAATACATTTTTTTCATACTATTTTAAGTAATCAGCTGATGATATCCATTATTTTAAAATGTTACTCTGTTCACCTGCAGTGTCTCACCTTCAGTAGAAAATATTTCTATAATGTTTCTGTTTGTCTTAATTATTCTTAATTTAGTCTGAAATATTTCGATTATATAAAACAAAATGTATTTCTGTCTCAGTGTGACTGAACAAATTAGAAATTTTCCTTCAGTATTTTTTATTTTCGACATTCATAACATTTAACATTTAAAATCTTTTTCATTCTGACATCAACGAGATCAAAGTATGGACAAACAAAGAAACTGAGAACAGGTGGGTAACTGATGATGTCACTGCTCTGACTGAGACAGGTGAGACGTGCTGCGTTCCAGACCAGACAGAAAAATCAGAAATCCCATTTTCCTTCGAGATGAAGAAGCAGATCGGCGCGAGGTCACACACACACACACACACACACACACACGCACACTGTAAACACACAGATTTATAGCTCCTCTTCATCGACACGTTTCAACTCTGCGTTCACTTCCTTTAATTCATATTTAAATATTTAAAGTATAATTGATCATCATTGAAAGAATTCTGGGCAGGTCGAAGGTCAAAGTTCATCCTGGGATTGAAAAGTTCGTCAGAGACGTCACGGACAGAAAGAGAAATATAATTGTTTCATAAAAACACTGAAAGAAAAACAAAATATAACTTAATGAAAAAAATGTAACAAAGTTAAAAATTGAAAAACTTTAATTGTAGTTTCTGTGAATTCCTGTTTTTAAATTTAAAAAACTTTTGACTTCCTGTGTTGTGAGTTCATCATTTCTGAGTGGGTGTGGAACGCAGCCTTCATCTCGTCCGCCGGTCAACACACGTTAGAGTCCGAGAATCAAAGTCTCTGCTGGACGTGTCCGTCCGTCCGTCCGTCCAGGCTCCCGCAGCAGAGACCAAACGACATTCCTGAAGTTCCTCCAGATGGGATTTTATCTCCTGCTTGTCACTGATTGGCCACAGGAGGCTCCTCCTCCTCCTCCATTGGCTGGCTGCCAAAGCCGCTGTCAACCGTGGCGTCTGATTGGACAGAAAGAATGGAAAGAGGTGGGTTTTTTATTTTTTTTAATTGACACTAACATAATGTATGGTAACATGACTTTATTTTTAACAACAGAATTTTATTTATAACAAAACGTTTTCGGATAATAATAAAACTTACATTTATAACTTCATAAATAATAATAAAACTTTATTTATAAAATAATGTTTTATAGTTACAAATCTCTCTAATATTCATTTATAATATAAATTTATACATAGTAACATAACTTTATTCATATCTATAAAACTTTATTATACAAATTTATTCAAAGTGACATAATTTGATTTGTCAAAACTTAATTTATGACAAAATAACTTTATTAATAGGAACATAACTATATTTATAAAACGTAATCTATCATAACTGTATTTACTGATGAGAAGTTTTAACACATTAATAAATCTGTAATTTTTTATTTTTCATTTTCATTTATGTATTTATTTATTTACATTTAGAGATTGTCAATAAAAAAGGCAGAAAATCAGAGTGGATCAAATCTCTGGAGATGTTCACAGACTGTTTTATAGTTTTATTTATTAGATTTCTGTTTTTGTGAGTAAAATAAAAGTGAAACTCGCTTTACGTCCTTGATGCTCTGTGAGAACATGAGAGATGATGACTTAATATTTTTACATCTTCACAGACACTGCTGTCATTTGTTTTGGCTCCTGGCAGCTTTACTCTTTTTGAAATTAATAAAATGAGACGTCAGACTCGTCACTGAGTTTGTGCTGAATAAAAAGACGTCACGCAGGTGAAGTGAGGAAGAGTTGTTTTGTTTTGGTTTTTTTTACCTGTGCTGTGTTTGTCGTCTCGTAGCTCGGCGTGTCTCAGCAGTCGGACTCCTTCTGTCAGACCGAGAGACTGAAGAGCGTCAACCAGACCTTCGACCGCACCTCCACCCAGCTGGACACGGGGACACACGTCACATATGTCAGACACAGGTCAGTAAGTGTAACTGTACAGTGAGGCTTCAGGTCGCAGCTTTAACCCGAGTCAGTAACACGGCAGCTGCAGGTGTTGGGTGGAGGCGTTAGTTACCTGGTAGTGCTGCAGCAGGTGGTGGCAGGGCGTCGGACTGTCCATGTACAGGTGAGTCAGCGTCATCATCCCCAGCTTCTCTGCCAGTTTCCTCCAGGGGACGTCTCCGACACTCAGGACCTCCACCAGCCGGGACAGCGTGTCCTCGTCCAGCCCCGAAGCCTCCGCCTCTGCAACGCCATCACACAAGAGTTTTTTATTTTGTACCGCCAGACTGTGACATCATCATTAAAAACGTCACCTGTGACATCATCATTAAAAACGTCACCTACACGAGCTCACACATGAAAACCAGAGTTTGTAAAGAACGAACCTTCAGAGCTGCTCGGTTTCATCTTCTTACTGCTGTGACGACTCGACTTCGGACTCTGTCTGGAGTTTAACAGGTTCCTCACCTGAGGAGAGGAGACAAGGAGACAAGGAGACTATTAGCATCTTCATCTTTGGATTGACTCTCCAGTGTTACGATACGATACGATACGATATACTTTATTGACCCACGAAGGGAAATTTGTCTTGGACTCAGCAACTGCGCCATAAATGCCTCGACAGCCACAATGACAACAAACGGTATGTTATTATGTCCTGTGCTTTTATTTTGAAAGGATCGCTACCTTTTGGCACTTGGCGAGGTCCAGGGGGGTGTGTCCTCCTGCTGGTCTCTTGCGAGGGTTGATTGGCTGTGAGGCGGCCTCTTGCTCTCTGATTGGTTCGTCTTCGTCCTGTTCTTCGTCCGAGGAGGAGCTGAAGAAGAGCGGCTCGTCGTTCTCCACGTTTTTATCAGCACCTGAAGAAGAAACCATCGTCACTCAGTGTGTCAGGTGTGTTGAGTTACCATCCTACGTTTTTATACATCACAGAACTTTAATTCTGAAAATCAGGTCAGAGGTCTGAACAGGTGTGTGTGTGTGTGTGTGTGTGTGTGTGTGTGTCTGACCTGCAGCGATAAGCATGGAGCAGAGGGTCGGTGAGCCCAGACTGGCGGCCAGGTGCAGAGGTGTGTTTCCTCCGAACGTGCTGGCGTTAACATCGGCCTTCAGCTGTAAATGCACAGATTGAGTTAACGCTGTGATGTCACTGATGGACAGGTGTCCAGGTGTGTGTGTGTGGGTGTGTGTGTGTGTTGTACCTCTGTGATGAGAGTGCAGGCCACCTTGAACAGGTTTTCCCTCACAGCCAGGTGGAGGGCGGTGTTTCCGCTCTTCTGCTCAGGTGCATTGATTTTGGCTCCGCCCTCCACCAGGAGGCGGAGGCAGCGCTCGCCGTCCCGCCTCACCGCCAAGTGGAGAGGATGGAGACCTGAGACAGACAGATACAGATAATACCTCAGTCTGGCTGAAAAACATCTCACTACTGTCGATAAAGATTTATTCATTTTAAATAAGAGTGTCGCAGTCGTCGGTAAATATTTCACAGTCGCGTTTCTCTCACCATGGAAGTCCGGAGTGTTGACCAGGTGGGCGTGGCGTTCTCCAAGGTGAGCCAGCAGGGGGCGGAGCGTGGCGTTGTCTCCAGCCAGCGCCGCCAGGTGGAGCGGACTGCGGCCATCTTTGTCCAGCAGGCTGGGGTCGGCCCCCGCCCTTAGCAGCACCTCCACCACCTTCACCTGCCGGGTGATCACCGCCAGGTGGAGAGGAGTCTGCGAAGACGACAGGAAGTGAAGGAGTCAGTGGGCAGGTGAGATTCTAAGACACTGTGTACGGTTAGCTGGTGGGAACAGTTCCCTGTCATAGTGAGCTTTATTGTGGTGTGAAGGTGAGTTAATTGTGATGTAGAGAGATCAGCTGTGGTTCAAGAGACGGGCTGGTTAGCGATGTTAGCATCAGTCAGCTGAGGGTTCACTACCTGTCGGAGGTGGTTGGCCGTGTTGAGGATGTTCTGCTGCTGACTGCTGAGCAGAGTGTGGATCAGCTGCTGGATCACACCTGTCTGCTGATGGATGATAGCCAGGTGCAAAGGACTGTGGGAAAACAAAAACCACAACGTCAGACTGTCAGATTCAGAAACGATAAAACGTCCTCCGACACGTTCGTCTCTGAGATGTCCTCTCGGCCAGCATGTAGGACAAGACAGTAATTAAATTCAGACCCGTCTAAGACATTTTTACCCTCCGTTAAGAAAATTAATGTATTTATTAATTAATTTATTTATTTTACAGAATATCTTTGTAACTATTAGAACGTGAAAACAACTCTTGGCCAGTAAGCAGCGATAAAGGCTGTGTCAACGATGTGTCAAATACCAGAGAAGAAGATTCTGAGCCTGTGCAGTGAGCTCGTTTTCCTTTGGCGTTATTAACAAATCAATTAATAAATGATTAGTTATTTTATTCATACATAATTGATACCTTTATATTTAACAGTCCACGGTGATGTGAAATAAAAATGACTGTGTTTCTAAAAATATCTGTAGAGTTCAGAAACTCACGTGTCTCCGTTGCCGTCCTGGACGCCACAGAGGTGTCTCTGGAGTGCCAGAAGGACGCGGACATCCCCGGTGCTGCAGTACTGCAGCAAGGCAGCAGCCGTCTGTCTGGCGCTCTGAGAGGCTCGGCTGTGGAGGGCGGCGGCTGGAAATATGAAGCAGAACGTAAGTCCGATTTTTATTGGAGAGAAACGGCGTCACATCATCAGCGAAGAATCAGAGCAGGACATCGAACGTTACCGAGCTGAAACAGCTGCTGCTGTAGTGGTGAGCCAGTCTGTCCTCCTGTCTGTCCTCCTGTCTGTCCTCCTGTCTCTCCCTCTGTCTGTTGCTGGGTAACCCCTGTCTGAGGGGCAGAGCCTGACATCTGAGTCCCTCCGCCGAAGCCTGTGAAGCCTCCCGGGAAGAAGACTCCGCCGGTTCCTCCTCCTCCTCCTCCTCCATTCATCTGCTGGTTGAACTGGAATCCTGCAGAAGGAAACAGAGTGAACTCCCAGTTTAACCAGTGTGAGAATGCTGTGGTCAGCTGGACAGAGGGAACGTTAAAGCATGATCCTGAGCAGCTGAAGCTTGATTCCAGGCAGCTGACAACTGATTTCAGACAGAAAAATCATGATTTAAGTGAGCCAAAGGATGATCTCAGGCAACAAAAACAAGACTAAGTTCAATCATGGTTTCAGACAGCTCAAGCATAACTAGCTAAGTAAGTATGATTCCAGGCAGCTAAGAATGATTTCAGTAAGTCAATGCATGATTCCAGGCAGGTAAATTGTGATTTCTGTAAATTAAAGCGTGATTCCAGTCAGCTAAAACATTATTTCAGATAGCTAAATCACAGTTTCAGGCAGCTTAAGTATGATTCCAGGTAGCTAAATCATAATATCATTAATGTACAACGTCATTCCAGGAAGCTAAAGTATGATTTCAGTGAGTTAAAGTATGATTGCAGGCAGCTAAAACATTATTTAAGATAGCTAAATCACAATTCCAGGCAGTTACAGTATGATTAATGCGTTAACAATAATCTTGTGATTCTTGAGGGAATCTGAAAAATTCAAAATCCCCTGATGTGGTGATGACACCGTGTTTCTCTGGAAACTGACTATGTTTAAAATAAAATCCCTACCTCCTCCTCCTCCTGCTCCTCCAGCTCCTCCTCCTCCTCCAAATCCTCCAGCTCCTCCGCCTCTTCCTCCTCCTCCTCTCCAGGGTTCATAGTGAGGCAGTGGCTTCTGTTTCTTCCTCAGCACCTCCTCTTTGTCTGAGAGAAAGCAGGAAGTGATGAGAAGAAACATCTGACGTTCAAAAGGTAAAAAGAACAGAAGTGGGAAGACTGAACAAAAAAAAAAACATGTTGTTTTCCCCGCTTAAAATTTCCTTCATTTTGTTTTTGTTGTCACGAATCTGTGGATGATGAAGATGAGTGAGTAGGTGAAGACTGAAACTCTGTGCGTGCCGACTGTTTCCACTGAGGGAAACCCCAAAACTGTCAACATCTACCCAAAAACAAACCTCCTGCTGTCGGCGGGGATTTACAGGTCATTAAATGTGATGTTCATGATTATGATGATGATGATGATGGTGATGGTGATGATGGCTGACCTTGGACCTGTGGTATGTAGGTGAACTGTTTGGGGTCGCTGCTGTCGCCAGCCTTTTTCCTCTTCAGCTGCAGGAAGACGGTGACGGGCCGCTCGATCTCTGCACTGTGGTAGGGCGGTGTTTTGAAGACGATGGCGTACTGAGGAGAGAAAACGCACTGTGAGGTCACACTGATCAGATGGAGGTCCGGGTAAGGCTGATAAGTGAACCCAGAGTGAAGGTTAATTGGTTTAACGTCTGTTTTCAAGATCAACAGCTCAATTCAAAGCTCCTGTTCTTATTGGTCGTCTTTAAACTCACATTTAAGATGGTTTAACTTTTAATGAGATTGTTCCAATGACCTGTGCACAAGTTTGTTTCTTTGTTTTTTAAACCACGGTTAAATTTACAGCTTCATCTAAAGTCCAGCTCAGACCAAAGACGGGCCAAAGAACAGTGCAGAACAGAGCGCTGCCAAGTGGTCTTAATTTTGTTAACAAAAACTGAGACAAAATCTTTTCCTCAACAACCTGTTTTCCAAGATGAAAACGAGACAATGACGAGCTAAAAATAGATCTTGATAATAAAACCTAAGACAACATCTGCGTTTCATTTGCACTGACGAGACGAGACAAAAATGTCAGCAGCAGACTGTCGGACACTGAAAGCTTGTAATTATCTTCAAATGCGACAGGCTGGTTAACTCCAGTAAATAGTCTGCACCAGCAGAAACAGTCAGAGCGGAGCAGCGTCAGTCGTTGGTGCGAGTTGTGAGCTGTAGTTCAGCAGCAAATGAGAGATGACACACCGTCTCTCCGTATCGACTCGGTGTGAAGCGGAGAAGAACGGCACATTTGTTTGAACTCGTGTCGTGGTGAATCTTTGATCTGAGCTGGACTTTAGTTTAAATTCAGCTCTGCTGGGTCAGAGTCAGTTTCACTTTCAGCATTTAAGATTTAAGACTGAGTGAGACAGATCATTGTGCTGAAATCAGGAGACATCAAATCTGACTCAAGAAAACTCTTGGAAAAAAAATGATTGTATGAGAAACAAATGAAACCCTCTGAGCTCACTGGTCACTTCTCTGCGTTTGCTTTAATAAAATCTGTTTTTCTGATTTCCAATAAAAGACTTCATGTAAATATCCAGTGTGTGTAAGAACATGTGAACACAGATGTGATTATACTGTACTTTTTCAAACTTTTCAAGATTCTGAGTTTGTGAATTGATTTATTGATGATTTTAAAGCCTGTTGTTGTGTATCAGTATTTTAAATAAGAAGTTTGTGAATGTGCAGAAGCAAACTGACGGCAGACGAGATCACAGACAACACACCTGGGCTGGACGGCCAGAGAGCCACCACTCATAGTCGAGGACGAAATGTTTGCTGCTGTTTTTATTCACTTTGTGTTATTGAACGCCCGTCTGTTTGTGCACGTTTATTCTAGATACATATTTATAGAGTACATTTTTTTGCACTGATCTCAGCCTGTGAACATTTTGTAGTTGTGTTGGTGTGCGGGTGTGTCCTCTGCTGTCCTTTCTTGGTCATCTGTTGTACCCACATAATTTAATATTTTCTCTTGTTTTGGCGTCCTGTGTGGAGCCCAGGAAGAGAACCACGAATAATGGGGATAAAGAATGAAGTACCGACGCACCCAAGATAAACTTTTTGGTCGCCCCGAGTAGAAGCAGTTTCACAGCAGCCAGAAGACTACGCATAAAAAGTTGAAAAATAAATAATAAATAATAATAATAATAAAACTTTTTCTGTACAAATTATAGCGACAGTGAGGCCACACACACAGAGTACTGACCACCTGACAGACAATAAAGATTTTATCCTAAAATAAATACAAAGGTTGATGCACGTCATCAAAAATCTAAATCTTATTTATCTCAACAGGAGCCTGTGAAATACAGCCGGCTGTCTGATGTTTCATTTTCTCTGGTTCTACGATTTTTAGACAAAATAACAACAAATGATTTCATAAAAAAACATAGTTGTGTTTGGTTTGAATTTTGTGTGTGTGTGTGTGTGTGTGTGTGTGTGTGTGTGTAGATTGGAGGAATTCCCCTTTCAGCTCCGCCAACAGACAAACTGCTGCTTTTTTTCTTGTTCTGTTGTGGTTTCAAAACATTCAACACTTCCTTCATGTAACTGACAGACAGTGTGTGTGACTCATTCACACACAAGCTCCGGCCTCAGTGAATAACACGCACACACACACACACACACACACACACACACACACACACACACACTCAGACTGTGTACCTGTTTGTGGACGTCTGTAGGTGAGAAGTCACCGAATGCCTCCCAGCCTCCTTCATCATCCTCCTCATAAAAACGGATCTCAATGTCATCTGTAACGTGCAGCACAGAGGCATGATGGGATACGTCTCCAGTGTCAGAGACAACAAAGTCATAATAAACACTAACAGCTGATTTTAAACATACAATAACTGTATGTCCAGGTTTCCTGACCGGCTCCATCCAACAGGAGAAAATCCACAGTACATCAAACACAGCCGTCAGATACAAGTCTGACACATGTCGGATACATGTCAGATACAAGTCTGACACATGTCGGATACATGTCAGATACATGTCTGACACATGTCGGATACATGTCAGATACATGTCTGACACATGTCGGATACATGTCAGATACATGTCTGACACATGTTGGATACATGTCAGATACATGTCTGACACATGTCGGATACATGTCAGATACATGTCTGACACATGTCGGATACATGTCAGATACATGTCTGACACATGTCGGATACATGTCAGATACATGTCTGACACATGTCGGATACATGTCAGATACATGTCTGACACATGTTGGATACATGTCAGATACATGTCTGACACATGTCGGATACATGTCAGATACATGTCTGACACATGTTGGATACATGTCAGATACATGTCTGACACATGTCGGATACAAGTCTGACACATGTCGGATACATGTCAGATACAAGTCTGACACGTCGGACACATGTCAGATACATGTCTGACACATGTATGACACATGTCGGATACATGTCAGATACATGTCTGACACATGTTGGATACATGTCTGACATGTCAGATACATGTCGGATATATGTCGGATGTTTTCACCTTTCTGGACTTTGTCGCAGAGCAGGAAGATCTCGTCTCCTCCGAGCACTGAGCCACATGTCTTATCCATCCGAGAGATCTTCAGGTTGGAGGCGTTTGGTGACTCTGCAGATTAAACATGATGAGTCATTAAATCACTGTGTGAATCCCTTATTTATCTCCAGTTAATGTTGTGTTGTTGGATGTGGCTTTGTTTTGTCATCGAACAAGGGTCCAGCCGAGGAGGAAGTTCTGCCATGTTTAACTTTAATAAAACTGCTAAGTGTAGAAATACTGTGTGAAAAGGTAAGTCAGGTGTTAGTGTTTCCCATGACAACTATCAAACTTTTTTTTCTGAAGACATGCTATACTATGACTTTTTTTTTAATGATTTCGGACAACATGCTATACTATGACGTTTCTTAATGATTTCGGACGACATGCTATACTGTGACATTTTTTAATGATTTCAGACGACATGCTATACTATGACGTTTTTTAATGATTTCAGACGACGTGCTATACGATGTCTTTTTTTTAATGATTTCGGACGACATGCTATACTATGACGTTTCTTAATGATTTCAGACGACATGCTATACTGTGACTTTTTTTTAATGATTTCGGACGACANTTTTTTAATGATTTCGAACGACGTGCTATATGATGACTTTGTTTTGCATGATTTTGGACGACATGCTATACTATGACTTTTTTTTCGTGATTTTGGATGACATACTATATTATGACTTTTATTCATGATTTCATACGACATGCTATACTATGATTTTTATTCATGATTTTGGACGACATGCTATACTATGACTTTTTTTCGTGATTCCAGACGACATGCTATACTATGACTTTTTTTCATGATTTCGGACGACATGCTATACTATGATTTTCTTTTGTGATTTTGGATGACATACTATACTATGACTTTTATTCATGATATTGGACGACATGCTATACTACGACTTTTTTTCATGATTTCGGACGACATGCTATACTATGACGTTTTTTAATGATTTCGGACGACATGCTAAACTATGACGTTTTTTAATGATTTCGAACGACGTGCTATATGATGACTTTGTTTTGCATGATTTTGGACGACATGCTATACTATGACTTTTTTTTCGTGATTTTGGATGACATACTATATTATGACTTTTATTCATGATTTCATACGACATGCTATACTATGATTTTTATTCATGATTTTGGACGACATGCTATACTATGACTTTTTTTCGTGATTCCAGACGACATGCTATACTATGACTTTTTTTCATGATTTCGGACGACATGCTATACTATGATTTTCTTTTGTGATTTTGGATGACATACTATACTATGACTTTTATTCATGATATTGGACGACATGCTATACTACGACTTTTTTTCATGATTTCGGACGACATGCTATACTATGACGTTTTTTAATGATTTCGGACGACATGCTAAACTATGACGTTTTTTAATGATTTCGAACGACGTGCTATATGATGACTTTGTTTTGCATGATTTTGGACGACATGCTATACTATGACTTTTTTTTCGTGATTTTGGATGACATACTATATTATGACTTTTATTCATGATTTCATACGACATGCTATACTATGATTTTTATTCATGATTTTGGACGACATGCTATACTATGACTTTTTTTCGTGATTCCAGACGACATGCTATACTATGACTTTTTTTCATGATTTCGGACGACATGCTATACTATGATTTTCTTTTGTGATTTTGGATGACATACTATACTATGACTTTTATTCATGATATTGGACGACATGCTATACTACGACTTTTTTTCATGATTTCGGACGACATGCTATACTATGACGTTTTTTAATGATTTCGGACGACATGCTAAACTATGACGTTTTTTAATGATTTCGAACGACGTGCTATATGATGACTTTGTTTTGCATGATTTTGGACGACATGCTATACTATGACTTTTTTTTCGTGATTTTGGATGACATACTATATTATGACTTTTATTCATGATTTCATACGACATGCTATACTATGATTTTTATTCATGATTTTGGACGACATGCTATACTATGACTTTTTTTCGTGATTCCAGACGACATGCTATACTATGACTTTTTTTCATGATTTCGGACGACATGCTATACTATGATTTTCTTTTGTGATTTTGGATGACATACTATACTATGACTTTTATTCATGATATTGGACGACATGCTATACTACGACTTTTTTTCATGATTTCGGACGACATGCTATACTATGACGTTTTTTAATGATTTCGGACGACATGCTAAACTATGACGTTTTTTAATGATTTCGAACGACGTGCTATATGATGACTTTGTTTTGCATGATTTTGGACGACATGCTATACTATGACTTTTTTTTCGTGATTTTGGATGACATACTATATTATGACTTTTATTCATGATTTCATACGACATGCTATACTATGATTTTTATTCATGATTTTGGACGACATGCTATACTATGACTTTTTTTCGTGATTCCAGACGACATGCTATACTATGACTTTTTTTCATGATTTCGGACGACATGCTATACTATGATTTTCTTTTGTGATTTTGGATGACATACTATACTATGACTTTTATTCATGATATTGGACGACATGCTATACTACGACTTTTTTTCATGATTTCGGACGACATGCTATACTATGACGTTTTTTAATGATTTCGGACGACATGCTAAACTATGACGTTTTTTAATGATTTCGAACGACGTGCTATATGATGACTTTGTTTTGCATGATTTTGGACGACATGCTATACTATGACTTTTTTTTCGTGATTTTGGATGACATACTATATTATGACTTTTATTCATGATTTCATACGACATGCTATACTATGATTTTTATTCATGATTTTGGACGACATGCTATACTATGACTTTTTTTCGTGATTCCAGACGACATGCTATACTATGACTTTTTTTCATGATTTCGGACGACATGCTATACTATGATTTTCTTTTGTGATTTTGGATGACATACTATACTATGACTTTTATTCATGATATTGGACGACATGCTATACTACGACTTTTTTTCATGATTTCGGACGACATGCTATACTATGACGTTTTTTAATGATTTCGGACGACATGCTAAACTATGACGTTTTTTAATGATTTCGAACGACGTGCTATATGATGACTTTGTTTTGCATGATTTTGGACGACATGCTATACTATGACTTTTTTTTCGTGATTTTGGATGACATACTATATTATGACTTTTATTCATGATTTCATACGACATGCTATACTATGATTTTTATTCATGATTTTGGACGACATGCTATACTATGACTTTTTTTCGTGATTCCAGACGACATGCTATACTATGACTTTTTTTCATGATTTCGGACGACATGCTATACTATGATTTTCTTTTGTGATTTTGGATGACATACTATACTATGACTTTTATTCATGATATTGGACGACATGCTATACTACGACTTTTTTTCATGATTTCGGACGACATGCTATACTATGACGTTTTTTAATGATTTCGGACGACATGCTAAACTATGACGTTTTTTAATGATTTCGAACGACGTGCTATATGATGACTTTGTTTTGCATGATTTTGGACGACATGCTATACTATGACTTTTTTTTCGTGATTTTGGATGACATACTATATTATGACTTTTATTCATGATTTCATACGACATGCTATACTATGATTTTTATTCATGATTTTGGACGACATGCTATACTATGACTTTTTTTCGTGATTCCAGACGACATGCTATACTATGACTTTTTTTCATGATTTCGGACGACATGCTATACTATGATTTTCTTTTGTGATTTTGGATGACATACTATACTATGACTTTTATTCATGATATTGGACGACATGCTATACTACGACTTTTTTTCATGATTTCGGACGACATGCTATACTATGACGTTTTTTAATGATTTCGGACGACATGCTAAACTATGACGTTTTTTAATGATTTCGAACGACGTGCTATATGATGACTTTGTTTTGCATGATTTTGGACGACATGCTATACTATGACTTTTTTTTCGTGATTTTGGATGACATACTATATTATGACTTTTATTCATGATTTCATACGACATGCTATACTATGATTTTTATTCATGATTTTGGACGACATGCTATACTATGACTTTTTTTCGTGATTCCAGACGACATGCTATACTATGACTTTTTTTCATGATTTCGGACGACATGCTATACTATGATTTTCTTTTGTGATTTTGGATGACATACTATACTATGACTTTTATTCATGATATTGGACGACATGCTATACTACGACTTTTTTTCATGATTTCGGACGACATGCTATACTATGACGTTTTTTAATGATTTCGGACGACATGCTAAACTATGACGTTTTTTAATGATTTCGAACGACGTGCTATATGATGACTTTGTTTTGCATGATTTTGGACGACATGCTATACTATGACTTTTTTTTCGTGATTTTGGATGACATACTATATTATGACTTTTATTCATGATTTCATACGACATGCTATACTATGATTTTTATTCATGATTTTGGACGACATGCTATACTATGACTTTTTTTCGTGATTCCAGACGACATGCTATACTATGACTTTTTTTCATGATTTCGGACGACATGCTATACTATGATTTTCTTTTGTGATTTTGGATGACATACTATACTATGACTTTTATTCATGATATTGGACGACATGCTATACTACGACTTTTTTTCATGATTTCGGACGACATGCTATACTATGACGTTTTTTAATGATTTCGGACGACATGCTAAACTATGACGTTTTTTAATGATTTCGAACGACGTGCTATATGATGACTTTGTTTTGCATGATTTTGGACGACATGCTATACTATGACTTTTTTTTCGTGATTTTGGATGACATACTATATTATGACTTTTATTCATGATTTCATACGACATGCTATACTATGATTTTTATTCATGATTTTGGACGACATGCTATACTATGACTTTTTTTCGTGATTCCAGACGACATGCTATACTATGACTTTTTTTCATGATTTCGGACGACATGCTATACTATGATTTTCTTTTGTGATTTTGGATGACATACTATACTATGACTTTTATTCATGATATTGGACGACATGCTATACTACGACTTTTTTTCATGATTTCGGACGACATGCTATACTATGACGTTTTTTAATGATTTCGGACGACATGCTAAACTATGACGTTTTTTAATGATTTCGAACGACGTGCTATATGATGACTTTGTTTTGCATGATTTTGGACGACATGCTATACTATGACTTTTTTTTCGTGATTTTGGACGACATACTATATTATGACTTTTATTCATGATTTCAGACGACATGCTATACTATGATTTTTATTCATGATTTTGGACGACATGCTATACTATGACTTTTTTTTCGTGATTTTGGACGACATACTATATTATGACTTTTATTCATGATTTCAGACGACATGCTATACTATGATTTTTATTCATGATTTTGGACGACATGCTATACTATGACTTTT